CCAGTGCCAGGGCTGTCCCGGGGGGGGGGGAGGGCACGAATTGGAGTGACCATACCAGGCCCAGCGCTTTGTGGGGCCCCGCGGAGCTGGGTGGAGCAGTGGCTCCACATCCAGCCACTCGCTCCCCAACTCCCCCTCCCCAGCTGATAGCAGCAGCAGCTTCTTTGGGTCCAGGGCCCATGAGATTGGAGCAGGGGCAGGGCTCCACACCCAGCTTGGGTTGGTTCTGGCCAGTGCTAAACACCAATCTTGTATAGCTTCAATCCGTGTTTTGTTAGTTCTGTGAAGTGCTGGACGGTATTGCAATACTCAGCAAAAATCTATGTCTTTTTATTATTATTATGGCTGTTGACCCTGAAGTATTATTTGGCAGATGTATAGGTCCCTACTCCAGAGCTTACAATCTAGAACCTTGTTTAAAAGTTTGCTGTGAGTTCAGTGCTCAAATGCTTGAAGTTAAGCACATGCATAACTCTTTGAAGTTCAGACAATATAGAAACAAAGGACAGAGGAAGGATCCTGACAGGGTACGAGACTTGTCTTTTAAAATCTCCTTTTCTTTTGCATTTTTAGATTTTGCATGCTTTTCTTTAATGGGAAGTATGTCAAAACTGGATTAAAAGGGAGCCTTGACACTTTGGGCATGGCGATGATCCTGCCCCCCACTGCTGTTTATAAGAAAATGAATTATTTGCCATAGGAGGTTAAATCACATAAAGTAAATAAGTATTAGTTGTTTATATCATATTGTTAAAAATGCAACATAATTACAATTGGTTGACCTGTGTGAAAATATATATAACATTCCTAGAACCTGGTGGCCATGTTCTACATTGCAGTTGCAGCTAGAATCAATGAGAAAGAGAATGTGGCACAAATACAGTAACTGCTTGCAATAAAAAGAGGGAAGGTTTACTGAACATTTTGCCATGCTATTGTTAGTGTTCATAAGGAAAGTAGGGAGCAAAGGAAGTAACAGACTAATAGGCAGGCTGATCCTATGCAAGTTTCTTTCTTCCAAGAGCTCTGTTAATGTCATTGTTTTTGTTCAGGGTTTTTCTTCAGTAACAGAGACTGACAATTATGTCCATTTTTTCTGATATTCTGCAAAATGTTTGCATGAATGAGGACTAAAATATGACCACCAGAGACCAAACATATTTCAGTTGTGAATATTTAATCTATGTCTCCAGAAGCAAACAACTATCATAATCAGGACCAGCTGCAGAGGGTATGTGGAATGGGGACAACTGGACAGCAACTTCAATACACTACAAAGTTGGGTACTTCTTTCTGCATGGATTCCACAGTCTTCAGATTTCACAGGCCCTTGACATGTTCTTCTATTACCTCATTAATATCTCTTGTGTGTTTCCCTTCCACAGATTTTACCAACAATATGGTGTAATATTGTGTTTAGTGGCTGAGCTGGTCTTTACATTCCCTTGTGTCAAGATAAGCTTAGGCCCTATCCAACCATGTCCAAATACAACCATGTTAGGGGACCAACTGTCTAGAAACACAGTCAAAGTCTAGTCTACATTCCATCATAGTATGACAGAGGCAACTATGTTCTAAGTTGGTTTCCTTGGCTTCTAACCATTTGACTAATTTTTACCTATAACAGTTCTGTAAAAATAGTTCACTGTAAAAATAGCTTTTAAAAGGAAGCAAATGTGAGAATAACTTTAAAACTGAAATTGGGTGGGATGTATGTTCTCTCTCTCTACAAATAACTTTCCCCAGAAAGTCTGCAAAACTGCTGACAGCTTTGCTCTGGAAAGATGACATATTGTATATTGTATATTGTAGAAAGTGCTTTTTATTGCAGAGAAACAGCAAAACTATCATATGGTAAAGCAGTTGCTATGGCAATTTTTCTGTCAAACACAGTACAATGAATAATGGCCTAAAACCTTCATTGGGTAAATTGTGAAACCTGAGAGTTTCTACTAAGCAGTGGTCTTCCAGAAAGTTTTATGCCCAACTTCATTGTTTTTTTTTCCATGTAGCTTAGATAATAAGCAAGCAAATTTTACATAGAAATGCCACTGTATTAGGCTTGCTGTCACAGTGAAGGGGTGGGGGGCACAGGACAAAAGCGTCTCACAGAAAAGGAAATAAAGATGTATTAATTATCATTACTGACAAACAGGCCAAATCCCTGAAAGCAAAATTCCTACCGAAGTCAATAGCAGTTTTGTTTGGTTCGTCTCAGTAAGAACTAAGACAACTTTCTTATCCCTGAATGTATCCCAAGAATATGGGCTTCTTGCAGAGATAGTCCATGGTAACTGGAGGAGCAGGAATCTTCCCCTTGGGCAGATCAGTGGCTATTACAGAACCCTCCCTCCCCTGATTCGTTGTGCTCAGCCTCATTACAGGTAGGAGTTATTGGAGCACTGACCACATCTTTTCCCCTCCCTTAGCACAACTTAAGCCTTATCCACCCAGCAGCTTGGAAACTGCCCATAGTTCTGTACTCCATGATGCACAGGGAGAACAAAACCAACTGAAAGAGCTCTTGGTTTCCAACTCCATCCTGTAACGCTTGCCCACCAAAGCAAGGAAGAGAGGATTTACCTTTTGAATGAGGACAGAAGGATTTGGGCTTTCATTATCACTATTAACAGAGTTAATAATGAACCTCTAAAGATGCATGACCTTCACAGTGCACTGGAGTTTCACTGGATCTTTATTTTCCTTATTAATAGTGTTCTCCTTCCTTTCCTATTCCTAGCAAAGTACTGAATTTAAGGAAAAGTATGATACAGCTTAAAAATTTCTCTGAGCTGAAAAGATCTGATTACATGAAAACTCTCAATTTTCATTTGAAAATGTTGTGCTTATAAATCACTCTACTGAATGGTCAGAATTTCTCTAAATGGAGCAAAAATCCACAAAATGAGGCAAGTCATGTTCCACTGCTATGGATGCAGGACCAGGACACAGACATAGACTTGTACACTACAGAAATGTCTTCCATCTGACTCAGGCACAATCAGATGAATTCAAGACTGTGCCCAAGGCCCCAATTCTAGGGTAATGATTATGAAGCCTACTGTAACTTAAAGTCTGTGGTAGCTTCTGTGTAGCAGCAACATAGCCTGTTGGGGAAAGTAACTCCAAATATTAATTGAAATTTGCCCTGCAGCAAAGGACCCATTAAGTCACTTCGGGTGAAAATGTCACACACATTTGCTTTTGCCTCTTAAGTCCTAGGCACCACTTAAATCTCATGTAAACCTTTTGGGGAACATGATTTGGCCCCACAGAAATACCATACTTACTCACATACAACACACCCCAGAATAAAGTATGCAACTTGGCTTTGAGAGGCAGAATGAGTTTTAAAAGAGCTTTCCTTGTAGTAAATAACTGAGGTCTCTACTACATGTTACATATATTATGCAATTAACTGTTCAATAATGTAATAAATTTAGACCAGTCACATATCCAAAGTAAGACGGGCCACAAGTGCAAAGTAATTAACTGGTTAATTGCACAATAAATTTACACCAACCACACATGCAGAGTAATTAGCACATGACCACCATGACTATCCAGCTAAACCAGTCATAACGTTAGTGTTTGAAAATGTGTAAAAACTCTATAGCTGGTTTCTGTTCAGCTTTATTTGAATGTGTAGCAGGGCCCTGAGTACCAGCAGGTAGGGAGCCACGACTACTCACTGTTCTGCTCCCTGTGAGTCCCATGCAGATTTTACTTTTGCTTTTGCCAATTACTTGCTCTTACCATATTTCCTGCATATAATATGCACTGCAATTTCTAGCAGCTCTCTCTTAAATGTGTGTTGTATATGAGAAAATATGGTAGTTTTAGTAGGCCTGGCACCACCCAAAAAAAACACTATAGGTCAAAATAAACCTAATTGCCTGGTTGTAATTTTTTTCAAATATGGGAAATATAGTTTGTGTGCATTATGCCTGATATTATGGACACCTAGATTTTTTCTGAATTGCTTGTCTTCTATATAATTTTCATTCGCAATGTAAATATATAGAATATTTGTCTATTCAAAAAGAAAATGCTATATTTTGAGTCAGACCCAATTCCTTCTATAAGGTGGAATTACAGCGGTTTCTTAACATGCATGCACAATACTGTTACGGTTGCCAGGCAACCAGCAGAAGGCATGTCAAAGATCCAGACAAGCCTCCAACGAATGAAAAGAAGATCTGACAATAATTCCACACAGGTGAGAAGATGCTCACCTCTGGGCCAGCTTGCTCAGCTTCTTTGCTTCCTATATCCTCCTGAGATGGACTCAGTCCTCTAAATTATTCACCTTTCTGAATGCTAGGAATATTGCTATCAATCAGGGAACCTAGCTTAGCCAGTTTCATTGGCTATACAATCTTGCTTCCAGTGCAGTCAATACGTATTTTTGGCTTTGATGTTAATGTGAGCAGGACTGTATTCTCTAATTTGTAAGAAGGAAAAGAGCTCATTTTAATAGGGACACAGGGACTGCCATATTTGATCAAAATATTAGCCTGCTTAGCACAGTGTTCCCTCATTGACAATATCCAGCAAAAGATATTTCACAGGAAAGGTGTTAGAATTCCAAAATGGGCATGTAGAGAATAATCTATTCAAAGAAGTTCTTTCTTATCCACTCAGGTATTAGTTTATGCCATGAAAATAAGGATTTATTGTCCTTCCTTGGCTATTAATCAGATGCTTATAAAGGACCATGCCAAACACCAGTTTTCAAAAAGCCCTGTATTAGCAGTGATGCTATAAAGTGACAAAACTGTTGTCTTAATCTATGGAGAAAGCTTTCCTTCACAGTCTTAAGTATTCTTTACCATGAGCTGCAGTGACAGGGAGAGGGAGTGGAAATGCGGAATTTAAGCAGCATCTGAAGTGACTTCCCTTCTTAGGCTAGGGACAGACATTCAGAAAACCTGATCCTGAATTGATTTAATCTTTGCAGGTTAGTCTAACCTGGCTAGGCTGCATCACTTTGTAACTGCACAGACATCCCAGACAGGCAGGCACATGCCTATAATGGCTCAGGCTAGAAGCCGAGGGGGCACTAGATCAGGCCTCCCTTCCTTTCCACAGTACTGAGCTGGGGGGGGCATGGCCACGCCCCCGCAGAATGCTCTGATTAGCCCAGCAGGGAATTGATAACAGTGTTTATCACCCCATTAAGAAAACAACAGAGGGATATTACCAGCTACCTGTTGACTCAGCACAGACCATAGCCAGCATGTGGTCTGCTACCTAATACACAGACACCTCTCATCAAGGCAGAGGGGAGGGGGGAATTCCTGCTTAGCAGGGAGTGGTGAGAAGGAAGGGAGGAGCAGCCTGCAGTCTCTGGAGCTCCAGCCAGGAAGCAGAGGGGAGGGGCCAGTCCTGCTGTGAAGCAGAGAGCCCCAACCAGCCCAGAGAGGATGCTGGGGGAGCCTGGCTTATCTTAAACCAGCAAGGGGTCTGGGACAGACATTGCATAAATTGGTTTGACCCAAATTGTTAAGTCTGATACTACATTCAACCAGGTTTATCTCAAAGTGGTTTAAACCATTTTATACTGGTTTATATGCACTAAATTTCTGTTCTGTTACAGGTTTAAACCAGTTTCTGATCACTTAACCTGGTTTATGTGTAAGGTCTGTCCCTAGCCTTAGAGAGAAATGGGCTTGTTAAACAGACCAGCAGATTACACCTCCTGTATGGGAGCCATAAGATCTTGGTATATTACCTTATTTCTCAGTGGATCCCAAAGATCCATGCAGTTTGGCCCACTCTATGATGCTGACAAACCTCCCCTCTCCTATTAGGGGAGATCATCACTGAAATCAGAAACTTAAAAGTTACTGATGTGTTCACTTAATTTTCCTCCTCCCATGGGTTTTTCTCTGGGGGAAGGGGATATAATGCCATCTTATAATGAAGAATCCCTTGTACTGAAATCCAGCAGCACATGGATTTCAATATGGCAGCTGCTTAATAGCACACAACAGTTCTATCCAAGTGTTACATCTGCAAGTAGCATTGTAATATTTTGGCAGCATGGCAGTG